AGAGTTTTCTACGTTTTAACCGCAAAAAACATAGTGGCGACTCCAAATCAATTGGAAGAGGTAGAAATCGAGTTTGCCTCTCCCCAAGTCGCAGGGCCGGTCTTCCAACCGAAAATCGGGTTGCGACTAAAATGTATGACTTTTAACAGCGCTCTCTAAAAAATAAAAAATAAAGCGCTGTTAAATGTGTGACTTTTCAGCTACACTAACTTTATCAAAACACATTCACGATAAAACTTGTAAAATAATAAAGAAATAGTAAAAAATGTTTTTTTGGAATTTCAGGATGCACCTTTGTAACGTAGTGAAAAAATTTAGATAGAATGAATTTTTCTACCTCAAATACATATATAATATGTCAAATTCTGATTAGTGGTTCAAAAGTTATGTCTAAAATAGAATTTTATCATAACACTATTCAATACATGTTGATATGACATCTTTAATGGCGCTTACGTAATAAGTGCTGTTAAATGTGTAATATCAACAGCGTTGCGTAAATATGAGTTGTTAAATGTGTCATGTCAACATCGTTTGCGTTTATAAGCGATGTTAAAGCGTAAATAAGTGTTGTGAAAGATGTCATATCAATAGCGTTTGCGTGAATAAGCGTTATTAAATGTGCTATATCACTATTTTTTACATAACTTTTGAACCACAAATCAGAACTGAACATATTATATATGCATTTGGGTTAGAAAAAATCATTCTATCCAAATTTTCTCACTACGTCAAAAAGGTACACCCTGAAACACATTTAAGCATTGTTAAATGTGTAACTTTTAATAGAATAAGCACTATTGATATGTCACATTTAACACCGCTTATATAGATTTGAAGAATTCTGGGGAAGTGATATCACCATCGCGAAATAAAATAATTTTAGGGAACGAACACACTTTAATATATGAGAGAATGTTGTTTAGAAATTGTAAAATTTTAAATTCCTATTGAATCAACAACGCACGTACATTTAGGAAAGCGTTGTATTCGATATCAAATCAACAACGCTTATTGAAGAAAGGAAGATATCTCATCAACAGCGTACACAACAAAAGGCGTTGTTGAATAGATTTCAATTAACATTGCAACAAAAAATGAGCATTGTTAAAGAGAACTAATTCAAACCAGCGCTTATTCAACAACGCTCATTCACGAATGCGCGGTTGATTTTATATTCTTATCAATAATAATTGCGTTCGCTTAACTAGGCGTTGTCTATGTTCCTCCGTCTTCTATTTAACAGCATAGTTTTAGGAAGCGCTGTTGAAGAACCAATATTAAAGACGTTTTCTGGCGTAGTACAATTTACTAATAAGTACCTAGGAATTGTTATTTTATCTTGTATAATTTACTATGACTTACCAATCTCTAAACAATAAGAATATTTTATATGACTTATAGGCAACTGTGAAGTCCTCTGTGCTGGAAGTATCGTTGGAAATAACAAAGTTTTTGTGATTTATACCTCATGGAACCAATACTGGGTGATGAAAATGAGGTGTGTGCCACTTGTACGCTATATCATTCACTAATCATGTCTTATATGATGAGATGGTCAAAACTTCAGTTTAACTTTATACACCATCTTCCAACTTTATCAATTTGTATGAAATAATGATTCTGATAATATGAACTAAGAGATATTCTATAGCTACATGTGGCATAAAATTTACCCAATAATTCAGCATTTGAAACTTGTATGATGGCCATTGTTAGCATTATTAATACCATACCGGTCATCAAATCAGTATGGGTACTGGTATAGCGGTTCAATTGGTGGTTCATTAATTAAACTGCATACCGGTGAAGTTAAATATACATATATAATATATTAACATTAATGTTGAAAAATCAATAAAAAACAATAAATTTTTTATTTTCGTTAAACAAAATTAATTTTAAATAAAAATCGATCGGTTTGACCGGTACGGTTTAATTGAAAACCGGTCGGTATGACCGGTTTTGGCCAGTTTTGACTGGTATAATTGCATGACCGGTATAATTGTTGTATCGTACTGGTATAGGGACCGATTCACTGGTTTACCGGTTCATCCGGATGGTACGAAACGGTTTTTACAACTATGGTTAGCACATTAGATTTTGAAATACTAATGTAAATATCCTCAACATTATTTTTGATATGTTTGTAGGTGTGATCTCGTCTAAACGAAAAACTATAAATCTTTTGCAAATATCTCATTCCCACATAAGTAATACTAATAAGGATTAAGTGTTTGATTCCTAATATCTAATTAAGTCAAAGTTTAAGTGTTTGATGTGGTCCATGTGTTTAGAAGTTACTAGTTTGAATTAAAGTGTCTAATGTGATGATGGTTGGCAATTTATGAGTCAAACTAGTGGGGGTTATTAGTAACTTCATCCCCTCTCACTTCATAGGAAGTTTCCATGATAGAGGAGAGGAGGAGTTACAACTCCTCCTAATCTCCTTCTATAATAGAGACACACATGCTTTGGAAAAGGATAATGCTATTTTACTATCTCATAACCGGAAACAAAAATAGAGAGAACTCAAAGCATTAGTGGTTGCATTTAGGAAAGTGATATAGAGAAGGAAGAAAACTGAGTTCCTAATCATCAAGGAACGCATAAAGGGAAGACGGAGAGGTGAGAACAAAGACAATCCGAAAGGCAACCGGATACCGCAATGGATTCAGGTATTCTTCAATCTCTTCATCTATCACTTGTGAATGTGATAATGTCAATGTCCTAATTAAAGGGTTCTTATGAACCATCAAATGCTCTTTAAAAATATTTCTAAAAGTCTAACATTTGATTCTTGAAAATAATATTTATTGGAAAAGAGACTCACATATTTCAAAATTGATTATATACTCATAGAATATGAATACTTTTGGTTATATAAAAAAAGATTAATAATATATTAATCCTATAAAAAAATTACACTAAATTATATAACCATTAAACTCTATTTTAAAAACATGTCAGCATCACAAATTTAATAGCCACCAATAATGCACACTTAGAAAAGTACAAAACTGATAAAGGAAAATGATATATTCTTCTAATAAATACTCATAAAGACTCTCATGCCTATAAAAGTACAAGAAAGTAATATATATCATGTTTTGATTATTAATGATTGATTTATAAGTAATAAATGATTTCAATAAAAAAAGTTAGACATTTATAAAACTTTATTCACTTCGGGTTTATTAGGTGAAGGGAAGTTGGAATTGGAGTTTGAAATTGCAATTTCAATTCCAATTACGTCAAAATTGAAACTGATTTGGAATTATAATTACGTTTGAATTATATAAAGAATTAGAGCGTAGAATTGGAATTGTCATTTTAATTCTAATTTCGTTGTTTGGGGTTAAGAATTGAATTTAAGCAATTTTAATTACAATATAATTCTAAAGAATTGGTTCGTGAAATTGTGATTCGAATTGTAGTTGTACTTCGAAACATCGAAATTAAAATGTCAAGTCACAATTTCAATTACGCCTTAATTTCATGACCAATTCATGATAAACTAACCCTTAGATAAGCTTTATAAGGTTGACATGGATTAATTAAAATAGTCAATGGCTTCTTAATCAAGAAAGAAGGTACCAGACAATAAAATATGACTGATTTTATTACTAGTTCACACATGCTCGCTGAAGTCTATTTTGAGTGGGAGAGTGAAGGGGAATTACAACCTGTGAAATATCTATACACGGTTAATATAAAAATGTATACACAATTACTATATTAGATGATAATTCATACATTATTATTTATCTAAGAGTCAATGATAATTAACATCAACAGATGATATAATGAGAGTATATAAAAGTCATATATTTTCACTACATACATTTTTTTCTCTTTTTCCACTATCCACACAACACTTATCTTATTTTGTTGCCACAATTTCATCAAACAATAATCTTCCTTGGCTTACTTAAGTTATTATGCCTCAAATTCGGGATGAGCACGGGCTGAGTAGACCTTACTCAACTCAAAATATTGATCGGATTATTTTTCGAACTCAAACCTAACCTTAGATTTGAAGCTAACATGACCCCAAATGTCATATGGGACAATATTTGAGTTCGACCCTGACCGGATTAAATATAATGCATACACTTTTTAGATAAAGTCTTTTCAATATTATTACTTATTAGTATGGATATTTAATTTGACATATGAAATTATAAATGTATATATATTGTTAATCATGTATATATGATGAGAAAAAATTAGAGAATTAATGATACTTTTGATCAAAGAGATGTCTTTACTCTGTACATAATTGAATAGAGACACATGCAAACATGATGAGTGAATGACTATGAGACGGTTCAGTCATATCATGTTTATCCCCTACCCAACCCTAAATATTGTATGTGTCTAATATTTGAACCCGACCCTAAGTCCGATGAAACCCGACTCTATTCAGATCCGATCATGATCAGACCATACTGGATGAACAGGTAGAGTCGGGTTATGCTCACCCGTAACTCAAACATGCCAAGCATCTTAAAAGCAAGGCTTAATTTTGGGTGAAAACTGAAATAGATAATGCAATTGATTGTCTTACTTAGAAGATTAATGCTTTATATGATTCTCGTTTCCACTACTATTCAATATCACCTTCATTATTTGAACAAAAACAATCAATCCTTAATCATTTAGTTGTGGTTGGTTACATTGATCAAATCGCGTCATAATATTTTATCATAAATCATATTTATTAATAAAACATTGATCTTTTAAATCATTCCTAATCATTTCATTTATGATTTTCTTTGGCCTCCATTTTTCTCTAGGAATTAGACTATCATTCATTTGATTTACTATCCTTAGTAGAACTTCTATCGGTCCGCGCTAATCATGTCCAAACCACCTAAGACATGATCATGCCATCTTTTCTAACTCAGCCACCATCTATCACAACGCCCTCCATCGTGGACTCAGTTCTCAACCAACCAAGACATTGCTCGCATGAAGCCAACACTCGCCCCACTTGGTGCCTTGCACGTGCCCTCGGCCTAGTAGCTTTGAGCGCAACTTGCGTTCGAAAATTCGATGGATCATGGGATTCTACAATTTACACCAAGTATCACATTTCACTATGTTCTTGGGAGTCAAGTGTTCGATTCCTGAGAGGGACACTTATTGGGAAGGGCAACCATAGACCCCAAAATGTATATTAGTTCATTACTCATAAGATGAGAGGATACCTTTGGCTATACCAAAAAATACAATCTTTTCTACCATAAGAATTACTTCGGCACTTGTCTCATATTAGCATATACTTATTCGACTTTAAATTAGATGCTTATACCTGGGTGTTCAAATGTACAAAAAAACACTAGGTGTGCCTTTATCTAGAAGATAAGATGGAGAGTGAATGATAAGGGAGGGGAACAAGGGCACATGGTCCTTTGAAAGGGTACGGAAATAAAAGACAATGTCAACGACCAATTTAAATAAGGTGAAATCTAATATGCGAACTATGTAAAGGTTCGTTTCGGTGCGAACTTTTTTATAACCGTTGGATGAGAAAATGCAGTAACCTGGAACCGGTTTCCAACTGTTTGAAATTCGGTTTTGGGAGTTGTAGGTTCAGTGTGGTTGTTATTATGGGGAAAACCGACTTCTGTGTAGAAGTCGGTTTTGTACATACTGACTTCTTCAATGAAGAAGTGTTTGGAGTGAGATTCAAACTCTTACATAAGTTGTGTCTATTCTCTCTTCCATTTATAAAAAAAAATAGAGGATAAAATGTGAAAAATGTTAGGAGTGAGATTCAAACTCTTACATATACTACAAGAAGCTATTAAACTTACCAAATGTGCTGGGCTATCAATGTTACCATTACCCAAACCGACTTTTATATAGAAGTCGGTATCAGCAAACCCTTCTTCAGTATAGAATGAACCAAGGCCCAAACCGACTTTTGTGGAAAATTTACATAGGCCCAAACCGACTTCTGTGGAAAATTTACATAGGCCCAAACCAACTTCAATCCATGCTACTTCCGGTACCCAGTCAGATTTTCAACGGCTCAGATTAACTTAAAAAAATCCAACGGCTTAAATGGTAGTTCGCACCAAAACGAACTAACCTGCCGTTAGCAGGTTAGTCACGGCCTTTAAATAAGTCATTAATAGAGATACAACTCATAAGCTAAAGTTGAGTTCTTACACCAAGACCCAAATTGACTCTACTGAATAATATGCACCAAGGGGATTCATTCTATGATTTAATTTTAACCAATGATGAAAAAACATCAAAAATAGAAACAATTCCATGAAGGTTAAATCCTTATAGTTATGTGAATGTAAGATTTCAATGTGTACCTAACCTTACCTTCCCTTAAATACTTAAATGCCAGAGTACAACTACCCCAAGGAACTATGGTAATAATAGAAAAATTAACATCTGAAACCAAGTTTATAGACCACTTAATTCACTAGGTAAATTGTGTAGGAAAAAAATAGTGTGAGAATATAGGCCTTGTGACAAAAAATGATTTTAAAATAGCCAAATGAAGTATGATACAGAAAGTCAACCTAAAAAGATAGGGTCAGCTTAGCTAACAATACAAAAAACACTAAACAGAAAGTAAAATGTATCTAACTAAGGCATTGAATTTGAAATTTCAAATGCTTAATAGTAGTAGTAGCAGAACAATAAATTCAGTCATATATACACAGAAAAAGAAAGTGGTGACCATAATAGTTGTTAATAAAGAAACAGAGGAATCTTTAATCACATAACTGATAACCCACAAAACAATCCACTTACATACAAGAAAAAATGATTATTCTCTCCTAATAAGTGGCTAAGTGTTGCTAATAAAAATCTCAAAACAGAAGCCTTACAGAGTAGAACAAGAGCTGTGTTCTTCATATATCAGTCATGTTTGAAACAACCTATGTTGCATGAATATGGGTACCGTACCGATACCGGGTATAAATAGGTACACGATACAATATTTCTTTTTTAAAATCTAATGTACCGGTAAACAATATAATGAGGCACAAATGACCAAAGTTAGCACTAGTAGATTATGCGAGAGAGTCTTAGGATGAGGCTGAGACTCAAAACCAACTGAGATGTGATGATGAGAGACGAATCATATGACGTAGATTTAGTATTATAATCTGGCTAAGAAGAAAAGGATAAAAATCCTAAGCATAAAACCCAAAATGACATTGTTTGATGCACAACCTATACATAATATAAATATACTTGCAAGAACTAATCACTACTACAGCAATGATGGCCAAACTTGCACACCCAATTAGGAAAGTCAATGAAATTGAAAATCCACAAATGAAAGTGATACAGAACTATCATGTTAAGGTTTCATCTCAAAACCAATTGAAAATTAGAAGAATAGCTGAATAGATATTTAAACAATGCCTAAGAAAATGAGGCAGACGATGTGGAACTTACTTCCCAACACAACATTGCAACCCATCAATCCAACCTTTAATCAAGTCTTCACTCCACCTTAGAGCAATCTCTGACTCTAACAAGAAGAACATTATTGAATTAATTCATTGCATTGCAATTGCATTTTTGCAAACTGGTCAAGGTTCTGAAAAGCACTTTCAGCTTCAATCCCTAGTTATTTACCATTCAGGTAATAAATATCATAACAATCAATTCATAACAATCAATGATTTTTCTCTCTTCAACTAATAATCTAAACAAATTTATCATCTTCTAAACACCTAATTCGTTCTCCAAACCAAGGAAAACTCTAATTGAATTCCATGATTTATGGACTTTCACACTCAAAACTATCAAAAATAAAATAAATAAAACCCTAGCCTTAAAATTTTACTAGAATCTTCTCCTCCACACACAGCAACAAATTCATATTCATACAAATAATGATCCTTCTCTCATACTAATAATTTCTTGTCTTGTGGTCAACGATAACACAATCAATTAGATTCATCATCTCTCATGCCGGAATTGTTGTGCCCTCCTGACAATGAAGCCAGCAAATTCAGATGTCCCGGAAGGTAATTTCCGAGCCGCGCCGCCGAAGCTTCTCCCATAGCTACTTGATGATGTTGTTGTTGTTGCTGCTGATGAATTAAAAATGAATTATGCTGCTGCGACATCAATTCTGGTGTCGCAGCAGCAAAGCTCCAGACCTGCCCGATTTCAGGTCGAGCAGGAAGGGCCCACAGCCCAGCTGGCACATTAGGCCCCACCAAGGATCCCACGGAAACTCCGTCGTTGTTATCCTTGGTGGGGTCCTCGTCGTCAGTCCTTATTTTCTTCCCGAAAATGAAGGAAGTCGGAGCGAGAAACGTCTTGTGTTGTTGAGAAGCTGAGGTAGTGGAAGAAGGGGAAGAGAGGGAGTTAGAAGTACCACCACCGCGGACAGAGACAGATACGGTGGAGAAGCTCGCCGGAGTAGTTCCCGTTCCGGTGGCAGCAATGATGGAAGGTTCAGCCTGACGGAGGAGCCACTCAATGGTTTGGCCGTCAGACTTATGACCGAGCTCACGTGTGAGCTGGAACACACGCGCGGCACATATGATAGGCATGCGTATGCGCCGTCCGCGACCGTCAACTTTGCTGTGACGATCCTTGGACGGCGGTTTCTTAACGGCTAGAGCACCGTCTCGGTGTGGCGGCTGAGGATGGGGTGAGTCAATGACTGTGTCGTTGATGACGGTGTTAGTTGTTCCGTCAGAGTTAGACATGGGTGGTGTGTTATGGTCTGAAGAGAGAAGGTGATGGTGTTTAGAAAAAAGGTTTATATTTTTATTTTGATCGGATGTTGAGAGAGAAAGAGAGTTTTGTGTGAGAATCACATGTTTTAAGGGAAAGAGATATATGTCCCAAGATTTGGTGTCTCATTATGTACCACTTCAATCAAATAATGTCAATTATTTAAGGAAAAAATTATATTATAAAAAAGAAAATAGTGTGTTTTGACTACCTGTTATGATATAATTGACTTGAGATATTGAGACATGATTTTTTTGGGACATGAGATCATTGTTCTGTTTTAAGAGTGTTTTATTTTGTGGTAAATCAAATATTGTACAGGAATTAAAAAGAAAATTTGTAATATAAAAATTTAGGTTTGATTAAGTTGAGATATAGAATGAACATCATTAAATATCTATTGAAAGGAGAAAAATTTGGGTTGAGACGAATCTAACCCTTGATATTTCGAGACAAATGTTTTTATGTTCTTTGGTGTTATAATTTAGATTAAATTTTATAAGTTATCAAAATTTTATTGATTGTCTCTATATAAACTAGCATATTGAAATCCGTTTTTTATTGTTTGTAATGTGTATTATACATGTTATAAATGTTTATAACGATATTATTGTTTTCGTGCTTTAAGGACAAAATAGAGAATTATGAAATTACTCTACGGTGATAGTTACATCATATTTTGTCTTTATATATTAATAGATGTTCAATTTAAGGTAATAGTGATAGTTAATATATTAGTGGTTACATATAATTATATGATTTTTTTTTTTTTTTTTTTGTAAAAATTAAAAAATGTCAAATTTATTCTATGTTTTACAGTAAAGATATATCTTCCTTCAACTCTTCCTCCTAAGGAGAGTTGTAGGTATAATGATTGAGAGGCATGAGATGGTGGAGACAGAGAGAGGGCACATGGGTAGTGGGGTCCAGTACTTACACTCCTCTAACTTGTCTTTCGCTATGCTCGACTCACTTCTTTCATACTTATACCCCACGCGCCATGTTTTCATTTTTTATCTCCTATTATTCGCATTTATGATTGAACTATTGTTTTTTCTTTTCGAATTTTATTGGGGAATATGATTGAATTTTGATATGTTATCAATTGAATATTAGCATATGTCATTAAACTTTGTTGTGTTATTAATTGAACATGAAATAAGATGAGTTTCAATTTGCATATATAATATACTTGAGTAATAAATCTTATGATGAGGTTAGGACCAACTTAAAAAATACAAGATGGAGTTTCATATGATTTGAAAGAGTTACTGCAGTAATATTTAGTTAGAATAAGAGTCCTACTTTATAGGACAGACTTAGTCTTTATTTGTATTTTGCTTTCCTTAATTTTTGCTACCACTTAGCACTATTAGCCTTTATTTTAGCATAGTTGATTGCTTTC